AGTGAGAAATGTGAGAAATGCGGAGAGAATTCGCATTTTCCATGCCCGAGGTTTTGTCGCGAAACTAGCGAATCAATTAATAAGTCCGCAGATATCAATAAAAAGAGAGACAGTGAGAAATGCGGAGAGAATTCGCATTTTCCATGCCCGAGGTTTTGTCGCGAAACTAGCGAATCAATTAATAAGTCCGCAATTTGCGCTGATATCAATACGGAATGTCTGCCCGCAGGATGCTTGCAAGACTTTCCGATCGCCTTCACGATAATATCGATTATCTTTATACTATAGAGGAACGCAATTAATGGTATAATTAATCGGAATAATCGTATCTCTCAAAAGAGAGATAGAGAGACGCGCACGATAAAATTTCATCTAATAAATTAAGATTTTTACGAGATGAATGTACATACATGTTTCGGCGAATAGCCTTCTCAGGAAGGACACGTCAGAATCGTTCATACGATCCAAGAAGGCAACCATAATTCTCCTCATGTTTCGCGCGCTTATAAAATATCACATCAAACCGCATAAGTAGATGCAGAAGATGTCGAAACAGGAAAATCCGTACCATATTTAATGACTTTGAATCTTCTTACCGGAATATCAGAGCGACATAATAAAGCAACTGGTGACATCTCGGTGAAACTTTCAACGAGTTTCCATTCGAACAAAAAAAAAAAAAAAAAAAAGAACAGAGAGATACCGGGAATCTGTGTTTTCCACGCCTGAGGTTGTTTTCGAATGAGCGATTTATTCGTGCCAGCGGGGACAATATTAAAACGTCAAGCGAATTTCTCTTTCTTCGTTGTCGGACACTTATAATGCCCATGCAAGATGCCCCAGAAGGCGTCAGTGGTTTTTGCATTATAAGCGTCCAAGGATGAAGAGGTTCTGGCAAATTAAGACAGCCTTGTTCTTAAGTCACTTTCAAATGAAGTTTAACAGGGTTTTAATTTCGAACGTAGTTGCTAAGATAATTAATGTTAAAATTAAGATATTGTGTGTATGTGAAAGAATATTGCAACCAAATAATTAAAAAAAAAAAAAAAATATCAATCTCATATGTCAGGTCATTAATCAAGTCATATACATGAATAAAAGAAGTGATCGTTGTCCTGCGATATATAAACAGTATGTATTGAGATTAGCGCACTTTACATATTTTGATATATATGATGCTGTTACGTTATTCTCTTTTAAATAATGATATGTGCATATTAAGCATTACGGGGGAAAAGATGATAATTAGCATTAAAATTTTGATTCTGGAAAGTCGCAAAACTATAAACATGAACTTTCTCTCTTTAACGAGCGATAACGCGCATCTATTTCGCGCGCGCGATCGGAGATTTTTTAATTATCTTAAAGTAATTATGGCAGTCAAAATTTTATTATTTTTCCATGCTATCTTATAAATATGGAAATCTTCGGATGGGACTCTCAGGACAGACTTATACTTCCTTATCGCTGTCATCTTGTCAAAATATGCTAAATATATTCCGGGAGGAGACAAGTTTATTTAATCCACAGCTCGTCATTCAACGCGATGCGCAGTGAGATACAACGGCGATGTAACATCATCAAGAACTATAGTCTTGATTTGCACTCAGGCAAATGTATACATTATAAACACATTTTAAACTTTAATAACGTAGCACGCGCATGTATCATCGTGCACAATTATAAATAAAATACTCATTGTGCGAGTGTTGGCAATATTATCGCATGACAAAAATATCTCGCGGATTAATTTTCGAGGATAATTACAATTAAACCCGGAAGAGAGTGTTACCGCGCGAAAACTATCTTCAGCTACCCTTACAGTATATCTAATCCTAGGAAACCCCCGTTCGCCTTTCTCTCTCTCTTTCCGAATCGCGGCTGGTAGGGATAAAACGCGATCGCGACGCGTTAAATGTCCCCTCGGTGAAGTCACGCACGCACTCACGCATCTAAAGAACTAGGCGGGAGGAGAGGAAAGGAAGGAAGGGGGGGGGGGACGTAGAGGACGCGTGCGTGATGGAGAAAGAGAACAGTGTTGAGAAGGGATATGTAGAGAAAGAGAAGGAGAAGAAAAGAGAGAGAGAGAGAGAGAGAGAGAGAGAAGGCGAGAATGGCAGAGAGAAAGAGAGAGATAAAAACGTCTAAGCTCTGATCTACCTGAACGAAGCTACCAGTGGTCGTCGTCTCTCTACGGGCGACACACGGGGGTAACCCGTACACTCGCGTGGCCCGTCCGCGGCGGCGGCGCACGCATACAAAGTAACACGCGCGTAAGACGACAGAGCGCAACGCGCTATCGCGCTCGTATGGCGGCGATCGAGAGCACGCGCACGAGAGAGAGGTCAGATAGAGCCGCGTGTATAGAGTGGGGAAGAAGGCGGGTCTGCGGCGCGACACGCATACACAAGAGTACGTACACAGAGAGCATACACGGCGACACGCGTGTTGGCATACGCGCGCACACACGCGCGCCACCGCCCCGGGACCGCGCGAGCAAAGCTCACACTTACCTGACAAGATGTAAGTTCAGAAACTGGAAGGTGCCACTTCTGCACAGTCCAATACAAGACACCGAACCGGAAAGTTCGTCCGAAAATTAGTCGACGCGCGTGACGACACCTCCGCTCGTAGCACTGCGGCGGGACTAAGTGTGTTGTTGGTGGCGATGGTGGTTGTTTGATCGTGCGGGACCGGAGGAAGAAGCGGAGGAAAAAAAAGAAGGAAGAGGAAAGAGAAGAAGAGGACAGCGGAGAGGAGCGCGACGACTCGCCTCCGCTGGTCGAAGGTGGAGAAACTGGAGGTGGAAGAGGAAGAGGCGGACGAGGAGGAGGAGGAGGAGGAGGAGGAGGAAGGAGGAAAAGGAGAAGGCGACGGCGGTGGAGGAAAAGAAGAAAACGAGGAAAGACGGAGGATGAGGTGGACGGCGAAGGTGGAGGCGCGATAACGAAATGACCGGAGATACGTGAAAACGCGCCGAGACACGGAGAGTGACGGTGTCGAGGTAGAGAAAAGTGCGTCAACGGTGCAAAGAGGAAGAAAATACGGAGGGTTTTATTATATTCGCCGGACGAGCGAAATTAAACCGAGTTCCGATCGCGAGTGATACCGTAGTGCCACTGTATATCTTCTTCGTGTTTTTCATCCTCCGTTTCATTCATCTTATCGATCGCGAACGATCTCGTTCATATTTACGATGGTGTTTTGCGTGGCGCCGTCGTCGTTGGCCGCAATGATCACGACGATGACGACGATAAAGATGATGGAGACGAGAGCGATCATCGAGAGGCATCGTATACGTATTGGATGATTATCATATTAATGAATGCACGTCGCTAGTCGACCAGCCAGTCCGCAGGATCGTCGACAAGGAGGAGCTTTCGCGAGTTCGCAAGCTCGAAAATCCGTCGCTGATTATCTCGCGATTCTACGCGAGGATCGAGAAACTTTTGATCGCGTGAAGACGATATTACGATCGAAAACGAAGAAACAGAAAAGTGAGTGCGTGATTCCCTAGCTCCTAGGTTTTCGCAACTTGTGCTATCAGACTCGTGCAGCGCGACTCGGAGTATCGTCCACTCGGATATCCGGCAGGATACGTCCAAGGATCTCGACTTATTACGCCTGTAGCTGGACGTGTCACGTTGACAGCACTCGCCCGATAAAGCGCACCCCGTGAGTCTTTACCTTCGATTGAATTGGGATTTCGATGGGCGCATGCGTAGGCGCACCGGATTTCTCTTTCGATAGGGCCATGCCGGGTATATTGGTATCGGGAATAAATTAACGGCTCGCACGAACGAGCGTCTAGAACAGAGATCGAGAGAAACCGGTACAATTTCGATGAGTTTATATATAGATTCCGAGATATCGTTGGCATGCGAAAATAAATAAAATATGCCTAATCATTAGGCGTATTAATGATAATAACAACGCGCGTCAGTCGAATTAATTCTGTGTCACTAGAATAAATATGATACCGATATACTTTAACGGAAAATCAGATAATAATTACAAAAAAAAAAGTGTTACGAGAGTGACAAGTTATTTAATAAATTAAATGTAAAAAAGATTGCGCTCAAAGAGATAAATGACAATTATCAATTATATGAAAAATATTGCGGCATTGCAGGTATACCTCAAAGTAAAGAATTGATCTGGTTATATCATATCTTTCCGCATCTAAAAGTGAAAATTAAACTCGTCACAATTATATTGATTTCGCGGTGATTGCAATGCGAGTAGTAGTCATGCGTTTCGATCGACCTTGAGGTTCGTATAGACTCTTTTCGGACGGCGATATCGGGACAGCATTCCTTTTGATGTTTTGCAATCCAGTCTATAATGCATGATCGACAATCTATTGCCTGCGGTAAAAGCATAGCAAACCCGTATAGTATTCGATAAATATGATAAGCTGGTAAAAGAATAAGATTTAAAGGTATAGAGAGATAAACAGAAAAAGAGTTATAGTTTGATCATTCAACGAATATTACAGGAGTAAAGTAATTTATCAACGCTATTATAAGCTATACTTTCTATATGTGATATTAAGTATATATTTTTGATTATAATAAACAAATTTTAATTGATATAATAAAAAATATAAGGAAACAATCGCGATAAAAAGTTCGCTAAAACCAATGATTCATAAATATGAATATCATTCTGGCATACGACTGAATTATTAGACTGTTAGGTTAAATTTTAAAATTCAAATGGTTAGACATGAATATATATCGTAAATTCCATAATTTTAATTGGGATTAATATTATCCATAATAAATCTTTGATTATAGAAGAACTGACTAATATGCAAATTTCATTATTGCACGCGGAATGAATATTGATGACAATTCTCTGTCATCTTTAACCTTGCTATGTGAGAGAAACATCATACGGATGATTATTTTCTTCAAATTCTTTAACATCAAAAGCGTTTCTCTGGAAAAGAGAATTTTTAATCGATACTCCGATACTTTATCACCGACTGTCTCGAATATAGCCGTGTATCACATCGGCATGTCCTTAATTTTCTCGTTACATGATCAGCATTTTTCCATAGTAATAATTTTAAAGCGAATAGTTATCAAGTCATTAAGCAAACAGACCGGCGCGTAACGAGGAACGGTACGTTTCCCAACAACGATAGTTGATAATGTCTAATTACGAATACCGCATTTGCATCGATGTGTTTATCTCACTCTATCAGTCTTTCTCGCAATAATATTTCTACGCGAGAGATGACGAGTCGCGCAATAAAGACGCCGCGTAAATGAACGAATGAGGAAACACCGAGTAAAGTGAGCGCGCTGTTTTACGTCATCGAGAGTCGCGGTGCAGATTGTCTACGATTTTATAGCGCGTCTCTATCATGCTAAAATATTTATTTCACGCTGTGCCGTATCGTATTTCTCGGTGTTTGACAACTGCTCGTCGACACTTCGCGATTTTTCTGTCCGCGCGCGGATGACCCTACCGTTTAATGCTTATGCGAAACGTCCAGCCCGACGCTAAAACGTCGGAATGGGGTCCGAATTTCCCATGGACTGCGCGCCTAATTATGTGTCCATGGGACACTCGTTCCATTATGGCAGCGAGCATTGCTGGTTACCCCTTTTATGCTAAGTGAGAGCGAACCAATGGATGACCCTCCGAAACGGGGTGACCATCCGCACTTGGACGGTCGCTCCCGGACACGCCGGACACTTCCCGCGATCATCCCCGTACCCACAAAGCTTCTTTCGCGCCTTTCACTATATAGGGTGACCCTCGAAATCGCGTTGGACAACACACCGGACAGTCTCTATACGATCGGCCTTGCCGTGCTCTTGCCCGAGGATTATGCGTTGAACCTGATACGGTATTTAATACGCTATTTTATTTATTTGAAGTTGGTAGTGTCCTTCTTCTTGAATATCACGAATATAAATAGTCGTAATTATCGCGCTTATTATCGCTGTAATGATACCTACTTGTAATAATAAAACAAAATAATATAATTGCCGATTCGAATATTACCAATATAATAATATTCGGATAAAGTTCCGAATAGGTGAACCCTCCGATTTTTTTGAAACTATACTATTTTTTGTATTTTTCTTACATCAATATTTATCGAAATAATATTTAAAAAGTTATATTTTTTCAGTTTTTTTGTTTTGACCTTGAAAATGACCTTGTCGCAAATTTTCATTATCATATTCGTAATCAGCGTTCAAAAATACAAAAAATAGTGTAGTTTCAAAAAAATCGGAGGGTTCACCTATTCGGAACTCCACCCTAATATTCTATATATAATGCAATTATTATTGATATTTATAAAACATGCAAGATATTGATAGCATCTAATGCATGAAATAACTATAGTTTTAATTTGCGCGTTATCAATATTATTTGCCCATATTATCGATCTAATCGTCATATGTAAATGTACTAATAATACAGACAGCATAATTTCATAACACTGGATTCAACAAAATAGCAATAAGGAAAATCATGCTTCAGATTTTAAATTGATTTATAAATCGCGATATGCGCAAAAACGTAAATTGCTTCGGTGGACGGTGTAGCTCTCTGAATTTTAGATTTCATAATGGCAACCTGTCGCGCTTGCACATTCGCGATGCAAATACGATCCAATTTTCTAAAGATCGTATACGAAGAGCACGTTGGCGAGCGCCGGCCTCTCGCAAGGCCGATGAACACCGGCGTTGTAGACCCCGAAAGCCGGGCAAGTCAGTCATGCAGGAAAGTTTAATGACTACTAATGGGGCACCCTGTATGCAGGTAAACGCGCAAGGTCCCACAAGTCGGCGAACGTCCGTTGAAGCCTCGAGCGATCTCTCAGCGACGGTAATTCGTGATTCCATTGCGGAAACACGCACGCGGAGATACGATATAGGGAAAACAAAAAATCGAGAATACACAATAAGGAAACGACGAGATCGACGACGACAAATCGCCGTCATTTTTACGATCGATATCGTTACCCGAACCCTACTAAAATAATCGATAACTCCGAAAAGCCGGCGTTACCGTATATCGCGTGCTCTTTTAATGCAGCTATAAAATCGTTCCGAGATTGACTATTCTTAACATGATAATAATGTAATTATCGTAATTATTGCGTAAGATATCCGGTCGATATTGGAATCGCGAGCTTACTATTATTATTGGCGACAGTACAGAGATGTGGGAGAACAACTCTGCCCTTCACCGCGATAACTCGATCGATAGTTTCACGAATAATATCGTTGGACTCCGTGCCGAGACACGCGACAATCAACGCGTCGATTCTTGCACCAGTCAGTGTCGGTGTCCATCGACGGTGACACGGTGCGATTGGACACATTAGTGCAGCTTATCGCGACCAGATCCGTGTTTCGTGAAAGCGGCCGGAGAAAAAATTTATAATTAGCGCGGCGCGCGTGAATAGGCGCCTGGTGTCGTGTCGCTTATCGCGAATAATAGTGATACATAAATAATCGATCGTGACGCTTACTCAGTAGCGTGTTAATTTACCGTTCTCGAGCGCGGGAAAGAAATCCGGCGGCGCAAGAATACCGTAAAGCCAGGATTGGCAAAATTCCACATTTTTGAATAGAATCCATGCCAGTAATAAAAACTAATATTTTCTGAAAAAAAAATTGGCAAGAACTTTAATTCTGTTATCATTACATTTTTCTTATTAAACTAAAAATTAATATAAAATTTAGTAACATTTATATCTCTCTAAAGTTCCATTCGATAAAGTCCGGGATAGTAAAAACTGGGATATACCATGATTTTTTCCATTCATTGG